AGATCTAGTACGTTCGAAAAATGTTTTATGTTCTAGTGCGTTCACCAACAGATCTAGTACTTTATTCCTTCAGAACAATAATAACAATACGAGAGTTAATACTTCTGTCTCCTCCCAGCTCCCCAAATGTCATATTCAGTAAAACAAGCATGATTTCTCTTTTTTCCACCCCCTCTCACTGTTTGCTAATCATCCCCTCCTCCCTGATCCCATACTCGCGCAATCCGACTGGAATTAGGCAATGAATATATGTCCTTCGAAATTCAAACAGTTTTCGCCCGTTACAACATCATCACAACTGATCATTGAACTGAACCGGCATAGGACTTAAAGGGAACTGGGAAGTGGAAGAATGAAATATTTTAATGTGAGAGTATCCCTCTTTTATTGATGCACAGCGTAATTTGGACCAAATTATGTAAAAATGTTGCTTTTCATTTAAAATGTAGCAAACAACAATGGAATTGTCAGGATATTTAAACAGCCAGATGCTTAAAAAGTGTCAAACTTCAACAATGAGATATAATCGTGGTTGTACGAATCATTGCTCGCAGCCACAGTTTGATTTGAAGTAGGTGTTCATTTAAAGCGCGTTTGAAGTCTGATGTTTTCGTTAATTTTTTAATCAAATAAACGTTGATAGTCTCCGACTGTTTCAAACAGCGAAACTAGCTTTAGGTTGGCATTAACCCTCATCCGTCCCTTGTGTCAATTTGATACATTCTTCTCCTAAGAAATGATAATCTATCATGTATAAGTGGTTTTAGTCGAGGCTATGTGACTTTAATTTTAAAGAATTTGAAAATGTAACTATGCATCTATTAATTATACTAATTTCTTAGCGCTGTGTTGATTTGAAACCGAGAGACACATTAAGCTAGGAAAATGAGGGACAGATGAAAGTTAAGGAAAAACATGGGAGTTGCCGACGCATCCCATTAAATTTCAAGCATTTATCAGCTACAGATTTTACTATTCCCGAAGGTATAATTAATTTAGCAAAATTTGCTAAAAATAACGAATAAATACTTCGTGTTTTTTTTTGCGGGAGCCCCTTCTATATATGTAAATAGCATATTAAATAATTGGAAATTTAATGATATATTATTTTAAACACTAAAATGAAACTAAAAATTATATAATCGAGTAATACAAATGTGAAGATCTGAGTCGCAATTGGAACTTCTGATACGATGATTGACTAGTGCAGCTCTTGGACTTATATGTAGATGACTAGCGTGAGGTTAGTTGTCACTTTTTTCTTTCCATATTTGTCGTACATTAGTTAATTTAGCCGGTTTATATTGAGCTCATCTATGATAATAATGTAGTAATATCGTAAATTACCCTTTATAGAGTGAAACGCAAGAAAATACAAATTTTAGTACTTTTTTTCAGATTTAGTAGCTTTTCCCTCCATAAGTTGGTACGAAATATTTTTGCTCGGTGGTCACCCTGCCCCAAACTGAGCTGTAGTTTGGAGCTGCCTAGTTTGTCCCCCCTGCTCCCCTCGGCCCACTCTCGTGAAAAGACTTTGTATTTCGGTTAGAATTATACACTTAATCGGTTATTTTGTAACGAGATCGTTTCGCGTCCGATTTTCACAGAACATATAAGCTGGTTAGAGACAAAAACGCGCGCAGCAGATCGAAATTCTTCCATCCATCGTTAAGGTACAAGCCAACGCTAATGGATTCGTTGTTATATTACAAGGTTAAGCGAGTTCGGAGACCTGATTGGCTGAGTAATCATCGGAGACACCTCCGTGCGACCGCGTTCGTACAAATATTCTACTCACGATTCCGATCGGCTACTCTTCGGTCGGATTAATCATAAACTATGATAAGAATGTACATGAAGCTTAGGTCTTCGTGTTTGAGTGATTGATTTTTAGAGAATTAAAATAAGATTAGCTTTAATGATTGTCTACACAAAATATGAGAATGAATTTTTTTGAATACACTATTTTTAATCTACCGTCAATGCAAACTACACGCAATGAGATTTCTTCGATCGGTAGAGACGTAAACAAACCAAAACGTCGCGTCCATCTTCGCAACGTTTACGGTACACAAGAATATTAATAGATATTTAAGCCCAAATGTATCTATTTTATGTAAATACAGTAAACCGTCGAGTAAAATCAAGGTGAACGCAAAAAAAGGTTATCTTGAGAGTACAAATTTGATGAAAAAAAAAAAAAAAACAACAACGGAGAAAGATGGGGTATTTTGGGGTATTTTGGGGTATTTGATTCTATTGAAAGCCATAACGCAGCTGCAAATACTTAAGAAACATAACTTTCGATGTGAAAGAATATCTAAGTTCGTGATATGACAAGACACGCTGCTAACCATAAATATTCCTAATGCACTTGTCAATGTTCTGCTACTTGTTAAAATTTTCGTCAAAATATTCTTCACGATAAAAGATGAAAAACAAAACATGTAGTATAAGAGGAGCTACAGGACGAAAATATACCGCAATAAGTGTCACAATATATAGTGCAATATGTGTCATATTCCGTAGGTGTACGATGACTAACGAAAAGGTTAGGCATAGCTCAGAATATTTCACAAATTCGTCGAATATTCTACATAAAAGGAAAACGAAAAATATGATTCGTTCGAGTCGTGTTAGATGTCGAACGTCAACGATCGCGACAAGCGACTCAAGTCTCACTCGGGCTTGGTAAACATGGAGGTTTCCGTTGTGAAGTAAAAAATTTTTCGAAACATAACCTATAAAATTCGCAACCACGGACGACGCGTGTGTCGCGAATATTTGAAACGCGAATGAGGATTATCATTGGTAAGGGGATACAGTGAATGAAAAGAAATACCATGTCGGCCCCCAAATCCTTCATGTCGCAGTAAAGGAAAAGATCCCCCGGTGGTTTCATCCAGTCGCCTGTACTCGTGCCTCCTCCCTGGCTGTACCCTACACCGAAACTCTCCACCGTCTCCAAGGTACCCTCGGCACGGCGCGTCACCTCCGAGAGATTCACCGTTAACCCCGTGGTACACCGACAACGCGAACAAGAAATTCAACACACACACTGTTTAGCACGCACTATCCGATGGACGAGGCGATCTTGGAGATAATTCACAGAATTCCGAGGAGGACGCGTCGCAGAAGAAGAAACAAGAAGGTAGTCGTAATCGTAGGTAAACCACAGCGTCGGGGCGCGGACGCCGATTCAGCCGGCACTGAATATAATATACACACCACTCCCGGTTGTTTTCACGTTCGTTTTTCCGCTCCGAACACAGAGACAGGCGGACGGACGGGCGGACAGAGACAGACGGACAGACGGACGGCAAACCTCTCGCGAACGAAGCACACTACACCGCTACTGAACAATAATACGAGTCACGGCACCACCACGAACAACAGTGCAAGAGAAAGAGAGAGATAGAAAAGCGTTCGGCCGCCTGTCAAACAGTTCGACACCTCCGGGTGCCTCGATGCTGCCACTGCTACCTATGGTCCTCTCTTCTTCTTCTTCCTCCTCCTCCTCTGCCTCCTCCACCGTCTCCGCCACCGCCGCCGCTGCTGCTGCTGCTACCGCCGCCACCACCGCCGCCGCCGCCACCGCCGCCACCACCTCCTTTCTCCTCTCGCGCACTTTGCACACTCACTCCGCGAATTCGCGTTTATTTACAAAGGGGGAGCGAGTCCATTACCGCGATTCCAGATTCGAAATTCACGCCCGTCTGAGCATATCGCGAGACGCTTCGTTATTTGGCGTTAAAGTAACGCTCAGCGTCGTCACGATGCTTCTTATTTCTCGCCTCTCCTAAAATTTTCGTTGGACCGGCCTCTCTCTTCGGCAGAGACTGTCCTCCTAACCGAAACAAAGAACGACGCTCGGAACGGGCGCGCTCTATCGACAGCCCCGCCAATCAACATTTCGTTTTGCGAACACCGCTAACCAATCCGAGCTCTCCTAAATTCTACCGTCTACCTTTTGCACGACCTCTCACGGCGACCGGATGAAAATTTGATCGCGATTAATGAATGTACCTGATCTGACAAGACCCTCGCCATTTATGAAATACTACTATTTCAAATAATTCTTTAACACTAATCGTACCGACAACCGGTCAAATAATCGGTTTGAAGTACGGCACAAATATGTATATAAAAGTCTCGGTACGGTTACTGTCAATCGACTAGTTACTTCATACTTTATTTTTAAATGAAATACATATACCATGTTTTTGAAATTGAATACATGCGAGTCATGTGGAAGACAATTTTAAGGATTCAAATGTTTGGGGGGAAAATGTTAAAATATAAAGTATATTAATACATGTATACATGTTCATCTAATATTCTGAGTGAAATCGTTAAAAATGTATCATAAAACGTCTTAGAAGAATTCCTAATTTGTTAAACGACCGAATTTTGACCCTGACACAACACAAGTTATGTGAAAAGTGGAAACATCAACTAGACTTCCTACCTATAAAATTTGTCTCTCCTGCTATCAATAATAGAGATGCTCTCAACTTAAATAAGATATACACATAATATATAAAAATTAAATGAGATACGAATAGTCTTAAATGCAACTGATTTGACTGTACCCTCCTATCGAGTCTAGGTCCAATCAGATCCATTAACCCCGCGTGTTCAAGGTGAGCGTAAGTTTTAAAGATCAAGAATTCTTTAGATTGAAAATTAATCCAATTAGTCTCAAACTGCCCCATAAGTATGGTGTGAAACTCATTCACCCACCGATTAAATTCGTCCCACACATTTCGTAAGTGTATTTAATGTACAACACAGTTTTCTTGTTGTGTGCAATAATTCATATAAGCATACGTAAAAGTACATGTTACTATTTGGCATATCTAAAGTATTTAAGAACATACTTGACATACTCGAATTGGTCTATTCGATTAACTGTATTCTACAGTATTTAACAGTAACAAAAGTTTACATTACCTAGCACACATATGTATACTACTACTGATATAATTAATAACACTTACCTGGCCATTTCTGAATTGCTGTTGCTGTTGCTGTTGTTGATGATGAAAAAGAGCAACTTGTTGCTGAGCTGTCATTTGGTTATTCAAATAGACCAAGTGTTCTGCTCCAGGTGCTCCACTCTGTAAAAGATATAATAAATTGCAATTATTAATATAGATAGAGCAAGATATCTTAACTGATAAAAAGAACTAAAGCTGTAGTACATTGAAATAGTACCAGTAACAAGCTATCTGTCAATTATATTTCTTATGAAACATTATGCTAACACAAATATAAATATATAATATAATACTCACTTTAAGTTGCATTGGATGTATCTCATAAGGTAGGTGAACATTGTTCATAGTTTGCAGTCCCAATTGTTGAGGTTGATTCTGCTGTGGTACATTCAGTTTAGTAATGGGATATTTCCATTTTTCTGGATTCTATAAATCAATAAAATTTACAATGAAATAAGAACAAAAACAGGATGACAATAAAATATTGTTAATACGCTATTTTTTGTATGTCAACAGAGAATGACTCTGAACTTCTTTTCTGAGTACCATACAAAATGAGTTACAATTCAATATACTCACATTATCAATGATAGCATCATCTGCAAGAGCCCAGGCTCGTGGAGCTTGTTTCGTTTGAAAAGTTGAAGACTGGGCATTAAATTCTGGTTCAGTGGGTCGTTGAAATACATAACCGACCATAGCATCATCCTGTGTTCTGCTCACTCCTATTTGATGTGTTTGGCCTGGTTGAATACGCATACTATCCCCACCAGCCATTACTTGTCCACATTGCTCTGCGTCCTATCGACAACAAAAACAGTTATTGTTACAGTATATACTAAACTGAACATACCTATTACAATGAAGTGTTAAAAGAGGTATACATTAAACAAAAAGTACATATCTCTAACAAAATTAGTTTTAAGTAAATAAGAACATGCAACTGATATTCGAATATTTATCTTGACATCATAAAATACTAAGACCGATGCAAGAATAAATTCTTTCCAACATTAAGATTTATGTATAATCATTTTTGTTCAAACCCCAGAAAGAAGCTTGCAACAGAAACAATACTACTCTTATTTCCCTATAGTGAACAGTTTAAGGAATACAACCAAAACATCTTGCCATTTCTATAGAATACTCTGCCATGATGGATCAAACAAAGCACAAGCATATGCAATACCCCATGCATATGCACAATAAGAGGACTCTTTTCCCGTGTTTCGGCTACAGAATAGAGCTTCTCCACATTGTTTCTCAAGATATCAATCAAAACGAATTACAATATGAAAGATTAAAATTGTGTAAACGTTCGAATTGACGTTCTACAAACGAAAATTCTGTCTCTAAGACACGTGAGATAGGTTATGGCATTTTGATCACACGTAAAATCCGTATTGTCAAGATAACTATTCGCGAAGCGTGTACCGATCTGAGAAGAGAAATATAAAAAAAAAATATGAAAATGTGTGCATACCGTTGGTATATGTCCATTAGCGGAAGGATGGTGTAATTGCACGGAAGGTGCCGGTTCACCCGCAGCACCAGCGCTACTCGCACCAAGCCACTTCATCGTTCTGTCAATCTGTACCGCTGCCACGGGCACGTTCAACGACGATTCCGACAGATAAGAGGTTCACCCTCGCCGTGAAGGTTAGCTCGGTCAGAACCGGCGTCCGGAGCCAAAGGTAAAATCTCCCGCTACGTTTGTTCCGCGGGCATGTTACGCGCGTGCGACCCTTAACAATGTCGCATCTCCGTTGTTTCAACGCGACGATGCTGACAATGACGACGACGACAACGAGAATAATCACCGTAGGAGATCTTATTTATCGTGAAGCCGCGACCGAGAACGCCAGACAGAACACAGCAATGGCAGCTGGCCGTGAGCGGTGCTGCCGGATTTTTGACAACACCGCCGGACGATAGGTAAAACGAAACGGGGAACACAAAGAGAATCGTTGAACCGACGAGATTCGCTCTACACTATTCCGGTTTTTGAGTTTTACCAAACAACATGAGCACTTCGCTGACGGACCAACGAAACTGGAGGGATGCCGAGGGGAAAAAAAGTGAAAAATACAAAAAAACGACAACTGCTTGTTCATCGACGATGGCAGGGAATCGGGGGGTAGGAAAACGGAGAGGGGCAGGAATCGCGAAATTCGCAAAATTCAGATTCGTTGCCTTGTTAATCTTTGCGAACCCGAACCCCGAAACGACAACGGATCCAATTAATGGTGGTTACTCTTTCGATTCACGGTTTTTGCTTCGCCGCGATCACTACAGCGCAACCAATTCAACAATACACCGTCCGTTGAATTCGATATTATTCTTGATTTTTCCGGTTATCTATCAACGTTCCTCGTTGATTTTTTTTTCCACACACTGGTCTCGTTAAACTAATGCTTAAAATACACTATTCACAGATATGTACAACAAAATACGGGCACACGATGTGCATCCACCGGCATCGCGTGTTTCGCGCGCAAGGATGCTGCGCGATTTTGGGACGGGGTCCAGAGGGGGGGTCGCAGATGGACGAGTACAAAGAAATATGCAACCCGAGTTTAGAAATACCGCGAAACGATGCGGAGCTCAATACGTTATTTCTGTCAATTTCATTCTCTTCCTTTTAGCAATCCCTCGGTTTAATATATATATACTTTCACCGCAACGAATAATTTGTCGATAGCACTATACATATAATAACGTTCGAACAAAAGTTTGTCGACTTTAACCGGCGTTAATCGTCCGTTCACGATTTTTCGCACAATACCGTTGAATGTGGTGCTCGAAGTGTCAAGATTCTAGGTTATACCAGGTTATACGACCGAATCATGGACGGAACGAATAGATAGCGGTGTTCCATGCTAGAATCAGCCGTACCATTTTTACCGCCATCTAATATAAAAGACATGTTCTAAAATTAGTTATTCACTTCTCTCACATTCTTTTTTAAAACATTAATAAAATCGTTTGCTTTGCAAAATTTTCCACACATATATTAGTATCGAGATGACAATACTATATAAGTATACAATTTATTAGTTTCTGTTTTTATTTTTGCACACAGTATTATTTTTGTAATGGTACACTGTTCTATCGTTCTGAAATGAGTGTATGTGTTAGTTTTGTAAACGTTACAACTGCTTCAGTGCAAACTCCTCATAATACGCACGACAGCGGGCAGGTTTGTAATTCTTACTGGCGGTACTTGCCATGTGAAATAGTGTTTAATGACTGGTGCGCTGCACATGAAGCAGATGAAACAGATCAACTTATCAATTTAATGTGGACAGTTTTGTTCCTATGACCACGTTAGACCATAACAAATGCTTTCTTATCTCATGTTAAAGTGACTCTTACAGAGGTGCCGAAGTACGTGGTAAGATTACATTTCGGATAACTCAGTAATATTTTCTGTAATACATACCAAGGAAATGTGCATATGTCAACTATATTTATCTCGCATAATGACGTCTTACGTTAAGTTTTGTTGTTCGTTTTATTTATGACGGTATTAAATAGAATAGTATAACTTATTTTGTAGACTTATTGGAAAATTATAACCAAACATGATCTTTTGCATTATACATACGCATAACCGTACACGACGATGTAATGTTATGTGTTGTTTTGTTCGTTTATAACTTCCTATCATCATAGTGGTTTTATTGACAATTATTCTTATTGTTACTGTGCAGCCATATACTTAGATATGACACCATAAATCCCTTGATTGCTTAATGAAAGAACGTACAATAGATTTTTAAGCGATGACAGGATATTGCAGTACATTACAGCTATTTATATTCTACACTCTTTACATAGTGATCCTTTTAAAATTTTATATTTTATAATTATAGATGTCGTAATGCTACAAATTAAATAAAATCCTACTGTCATAGCATAAAATGGCAACATTTTGGTCAGGAAGACCTGGTTGGTTAGGAAAAGTAGGAATAGCATTATTGGCTACATGGCTTTTGGTACTAATTGTATCAGTGTCACATATCTTTAAGACAAATAGTTTATCTTCCAACAATGAGAGTCCTACAAACAAAGAAAATGCTCAACGTTTAGCTCAAATTATGAATGACTTTGAGATTCTTAAAAGGCAAAATGAAGCATTGAAAAGTATAGTTTTAGGGTAAGTTAGTAAAAGGAGTTATCAAAGCATATGGTTTGTCTGAAGTTTAAAACACAAAGCCTGGTGATTTTTTCGTTATACAGGATATCATAATTTCCAGAGAAAGGTCAAAGTCTATTCAAGGGGACCATTTAGGGTCAGTACATGAAAAGTTAGACAAAGTGTCTCTTTATGATGATTTTTTGGACCATCAAGATAATTCTAAACCTGGTATCCCTTCATTAAAATATGAAGAATTGCGAAGAAGAATAAGAAATAATATACAAGAAACATGGTAACTGCAATATCTAAGACAGATTATTTATGTATTTTATATAGAATATTACATATAATGTTTTAATTTTTGAGATAGGTATTATATTAGTGCAGAATTAAATAAACTTAGAAAACCTATTGATAAACCAAGTTATGAACAGAAAGAGAAGAAAATACAAGATATATTAGAAAATGTTTGGGATCATAAAAGATCTCTTATAGTAGATATTGATAGATTAACAAAAGCAGATGGTTATAATGAATGGCGTAAGAAAGAAGCAAAAGATTTAGCTGATCTTGTACAAAGAAGATTCAAAGCTTTACAAAATCCAAGTGATTGTAATAAAGCAAGAAAGTTAGTGTGCAGTTTAAACAAAGGTTGTGGATTTGGGTGTCAGGTAAAAACCTAAAATTAAAAATAAAAACGTATATATGGAACTGTAAATGAAATTTTTGTGTATTACAGATTCATCACATTACGTATTGTTTCTTGGTAGCTTATGGTACAGAGCGAACATTAATAATCAAATCTAAAGGGTGGAGGTATCATAAGGATGGCTGGGAATCTGTTTTCAAACCACTTAGCGATACATGTGTGTCTACAAATGGAGCATCTCATGCTAACTGGCCCGGTGATTCTTCTAAACAAGTCATCTCATTACCAATTGTGGACAATGTTTATCCTAAACCAAGATACCAACCACCAAGTGTACCTGCAGATTTAGCTGTAAGATTAGAAAAACTTCATGGACATCCAATAGTATGGTGGGTTGGTCAAGTTCTGAAATATTTAATGCGTCCTCAAGAACATGTGCAAAAGACTCTGGAGTATGCGAAGGAAAGGCTTGGTTTCAAGAAGCCTATTGTTGGAGTTCATGTAAGAAGAACAGACAAAGTTGGAACTGAAGCTGCTTATCACGACATAGATGAGTATATGAGCAAAGTGGAACAGTATTTCAATGAATTTGAAATAAAACCAGAAGTGAAACGGGTCTTTCTTGCTAGCGATGATCCCAAAGTAATTACAGCAGCAAAAAATCGTTATCCGAACTACGAAATAATAGGGGATCCAAAAATCGCTGAAACAGCATCAGTCGCAAGACGATATTCAGATTCTTCCCTGCAAGGAATAATTGTAGATATACATCTGTTGTCTGAATCCGATTACTTAGTATGCACGTTCAGCTCTCAGGTGTGCCGTGTGGCATATGAGTTAATGCAAACATATTACACAGATGCCTATAATAGATTTACATCACTGGATGATATTTATTATTACGGTGGTCAAAATCCACATCCCCATCAAGTTATTCTAGATCATAAACCACGAAAAACTGGTGAAATAGAACTAAAAGTAGGAGATTTGATCGAAGTATTTGGAAATCATTGGGATGGTTACTCCAAAGGTTACAACACTAGAACCAGTATGACTGGTTTATTTCCTAGCTTTAAAGTAAGGAATCCCGTGGACGCTGTAGACTTTCCAAAATATTCATACGTCCTGTCACATGACAACAAAAACGAGTAGACACATTTTTAATACATAGTAATCTTGAAAATATTCAGATTGCTTGAAAAATGATATAACTTGCCTTTGTATTCGAATTGTTGACAAGCAGTATAAAAAATTATGAATACGTATATATTTTATTACTAGTAAGTGACAGATTTGATTTTTACAAATTGAAACTATCACGAGTTGTGAGACAAAGATGTAAGTTATCTTCTATATAAATCTGTATGTTGCATTTTAAGAAGACCGTACAATAATATTAGCAAAATAAAACTAGATAATTTTGAATGATTTTACGATCTTCTTACAAGTTAAACTACGAACGAGCATTTAGAAAAGTTTCAAATTGATAAAGAATAGTGCCAATGCATTTCATTCTTTAGGAATTTATTACAGTGGCAAGCCAATGTTTTCATTAAATAGGAAACATGTAATGATGTCAATTTTCGTATATTATTATATAATCAGATAGTTTATGTCACTAGTTAATCTCACATCTCTTGATAAAGGCTTGCATTGCAATTTATTGTCACAACGTACAATTTGTACATAAGATACGCAATATTAAGTCAGTGTAGACGAAAATTTTTTGATGACATTAGAGCTTATACAATACGCATAACGAGCATAAAATGCATAGACATCGAGCTGGGCTTGAGGCCTATCTTATACATTTAAGGATGTTTCCTGTATACATATTGTAATATATTTTATACTATACAACAAACGCAAATGAGAATTGTTACTATATTACAAAATTTGAATTTGGTTTTTAATAAATATTTAATTCACCGAGTTTATAATTCTTTGATCCTGCACCATCAGATAGTGTATGGAATTAAGCGTATATTTCTGTACATATTAATTTCTTCACAGTCTACTTCAGAATTTTTTTAATATCAAAGCAATGTATTGAAGTAAGCATAAAGCAGCTCGAATACTTACGCTTTGAACTTCGGCGAATATAAAGTGACAATTTTAGTAACTACACGTATTTAGAGATGGCGTGAACTGCTACTTGTGAATCACTCGTGATTCGATCACGTTCGTTCCCAATCACGATGATTTTTCACAGTGATTCGTGATTTCCCGTGATCGTTTCTTATTGGTGGAGAAACCTAACAGTTCTTTACACGCGATACATAATTTGTATATTTCACATTAATGACATCAAAACAAAAATTAGGGTTATATCGTATAAAGTGAAGGAATAAGTAGAAACAATGAAGAATAATGAATAAATTAATGATTACAAATTATAATCTACATGTTACCTAGCAAATCATTATTTTAGAATTTCTTGTTTTTTCTACTGATGTTTACAAACACGAATAGTAATGTAATTATCGTAAAATCATATTGAATACGTTTTTCTGTTTAAAGATTAATGACTTACGATTGCAGTGAGCAAATTCACTCAAGATAAAAAAATCGCAATCACGGTCGTGAATGAAGTTAAATCACGATCGTGATCGTGATTCGGCGATCACTGTGATAAATCACCGTTAGTGATTTTGCACGCCATCTCTAACAACAATTTGGTGGTACTTAGTTTCTATAAAAAACGATAAAAATGATGTAGTCATCTGACAGTCTCAGGATACACGTGTACCAACGCAAGTTTAAAGTTGATAAAACAGATATTTCTGGATTGATTGTCCTTTCGGATGAATCAATCGATGTAGAAAGGTGTGCTAATGATTGGTAACCTAATTAAAACATTTAGTGGTCATTAATTAAAGCAGAATATATGACAATTCGTACCTCTGCAGTACGGCAAGCATCGAAACCTGTGATTTGCTGAGAAGTGAATACAGGAATATTGAAACACATTATGGTGAATAAAACTTATATTTCCTAAACGATTGTGCTCTGCGAGGACTTAGTCGAAGCAGAAACGCCTTCTCCTAATTGGTGGCCCAATTAGAATATTTGGTGGTCAAGCGTCCGTTTGTAATCGGCGTCAAACTTATGAAACCTTTATGAAGCTTTGAAAACGGTACGGAAGAGTTGCAAGTTACAGAGGAGGGAATTATTTGCGGCATACAAATTACAATATTTTATAAGCCTCGATAATATCTAAGTCTACTTTTTCTGAATTTATATAAATATCATTACAAGTATATTGTAAAATCATATAGATAAGTGGGATTTAAGTAAAATAAGTATCTAAGGGCACTTTTATTGAATCTATACAAATATTATTAGAAGTATATTGTAAAATCATGTATGTAAGTAGTACTTAAGGCAATTCTTGTTAAATTTATAGAAATACTATTGTAAATTGTATATTTTCGTACGATTTTTTCAATAAAAAACAGTCAAATCATAAATATGCGTTATTCATTAATCTCGGCACTATCTCCACTCCTATTCCTAATATCAATTAATCAAAAAAGTAATAAGAAATAATAAATAATAACAAAATAATTAATTCTAATACCTTTAAGTTTTGGGAGAAGTTCTGGATTTAGTTCCAATTTCCGCCACCAACGGGTGGGGGTGCCACAAACGTGCAGGACCTTCTTCGGAGGTATGTGGATAAAGTAGGGTCATAGAGACTCCGGTGCATGCTTAAGACACCCCGTGTGCGAGACGCCGTGGGGCCATAGAGCCCCCCCGGAGTATCCGCGAGAGATCCGTGAATGCAAGGCCTTAGGGTCATAAAGCGCCCCGGCGCATGCGCAACTGACTCCGAATGTTTAAGCAAGTGGGGTCATAAAGCCCCCTGAGCATACGTAAGAGACTCCGTGTGTCTGAGAAGAATGACATATTTATTTATCACGTACATCTTATATTACATATATCGTACATAGTTCATACATATGTTTATGTTCATATGTTTTATATTTTATATTAAATATTTAAATGAATATTTAAAGTATAGTATTGTATTTTATTCTCTCTCGACGCAGAAGCAACTTTTGTGTTGGGTATCAAGGTTAGGAAAATATAATTCGATACAAGTAGGTATCGATACTTTTGTTTCGTTACTGAGTAAATATCGATACCTTCATAGAAAAGTAGTAATGAGTAAAAGTATCGATACCTTGGTCACAGCCGAGTCTAGTACAGAATCGGTTGTACCTTGGTGGTATCGATTCAACACTAGTATACGAGGTATACGACCGTGCTTGTGCCTTGTGCCTCGTGGCTCCCAGCCCCCACTTTCCACTTCCACTCCTCCAGTGGCCCCAGCCAGCCAGCGACAGCCCTTTCGGCACCTTTCACAGACGCAGTGGACTGCAGTGGACACAGTGGGATACAGTTCAGACTGTTCAGACCAGACCGATCAGTCCAACGTGTCGTAAATAATGGGGCGAACTGTGTACGCGGAAGAACATCTTCACAGTTATTTGACATCATTAGCGAAACCGGATGAATACACGATAGGATTAATTTTGGGACAGGTTCGATTTTTGAATACATGATTACAGAAACGCGATTCTACATTAACAAATACTACATAAAACAAATTGTTTTGATACTTTTAATAAACTAACATACGATTCTATGTATTATTAGTCTTTTATTATTTAACATTTAATATTATAGATTAGGTTGAACAAACAAATAAAATACAATAAATTTATTCTTTTTCTAATAAATTGAATTTATAGAGTGCAGGTCAAAAGGATTATATTGTACATTTAGCAAAAACTCCACCTCCACTTGGAAAAAATGTTGTGGAAGAAACATTGATCAGTTCTACAATGAACACACAAAATACTGCTGAAAGTTACATTAAATCTGTGAGGGATATACCTGAGAGTTGGGTCGCTGATCATGCTAAGCATGTATGGTTACTTCATTTTCATTACAGTATTTATTGTTTATACAACCAAATTGCAGATTATTTTACATACAAAAATAAATAAAAAATTTAGAATTAATTTTTTTGTACAATGGCTCGTTTCCGAGATAATCAAATTTTAAAAATTAAAATACACATGCAACTTAATAGAACTTTACTAATGCCTCTGTTCTTTACATTCCACTACTTATTGTCATCATGAACAGATACATGTTAGTTGAATAAACAAGATTTTTGCATGTAAAATAATCTCCTGTCTAATAATACCACCTGTTTTATGCCCAATCTGTATCAAGATTCAATTAATTCAAGTTTGATTAACTCTTTAATAAAGCATTCTTCTCTTCAAAATTAATTGATATAATTTATTCAAGGTTACCAGAATGTTACCTGGTGGAATGCGAGTTCTTGGTGCATTCATTGTTGGTCCTGATGATGCTATAAATGATAATATAAACATACAAAAGTTCAGATCCATTCTCATGGCAATTCACAGAAATTTATCTCAAAACAAATACCTCTGTGGAAACAATAATGAGGAGCATCTTATTTTAAACCTAAACAGCGTTACACAAAAGTATGATGAATGACAAGTATGCAGCATCTTAAACAACTACGTTTGTTTATAACACTGCACCTAATGGTTTTAGATATATTTGTAAGTCTGTAGAAACCAGTAAGACTGGAATGGTGAAGCCAGCAGAATGGAAGTTACAAGGAAAAGCTACAAAATGGCATCAGTTGGAGGCTCTTGTGGATTTTGATCAGTTATTTCTCATTGCTGCGGATAAAGTCCCTGAAACTCTTAAGAAACAGCTACAAGTATTACATATAGAGTACATTTATACAAAATTCATGTATAAAAATCTGTGTATACATTGTCTGATTTTGTAGGATATTATAAAAAACATGTCAAACATTATTGAATCTTCTCTGCTTGTTATTGAAGGAGAAGTAAGATCCCCCGATGATTCATTGGAAATCATTACCAAAAGTAAAGAGCAAGAAAAGGGACGTAAAAACAATGAGAAGGACACTAATGATAAAATAATTCAAATTAACTTGTATATCCCATGTGTAAGTATTTGCATTTGCCAGAGATTAATTTCACTAAACAATTTCTGAACAGCCTTTTAAATGTGAAACATTTAATGAAGCAAATTAAAATTATATTATCGCTCGTTAAATAGATGTAACACAGTTTGTTTTGTGGATTAATAGCAAGAAAAAAATATTAACTTCGATGTGAGAATAACACCTTGCAATGCATCGATACGTCTTGTCGGTCAATTAATGAGCAGAACTTTCGTTCATCAAAAAGCAAATGTCGAGGAAGCTAATATGGCGGTGAAGCAAGATATAATAAGATCACTGGCAAGTAGACTAGAGATGCATTGGGATAGTTTAATTGAAGAAGAAAGTGGTTCTCCAGAAGGTAACTATGATTCTTGTGTTACAGAATTATTAACTAATGAAGAACATAATGGATTTTGGTACTTATTCCTATTCCTATTATTTTCAGAAAATATAACATTACATGAACCACCAAGAAGAATGTTGATAGCGTTACCAGAAAGTAAAGTAACATTGTCAGACTATCTCTTTCCTGGCGAAGGTCCTCAAGAAGCACTGTTCTCATTGCAAGAACTTTTAGATTTAGAAGTTCAAGAAAGTAATATTCAAAAAGATATAGAGCTTCAAGCTGGTAAACATTTAAAATTGCACATACACATTAGAAATAAATTGTATCCTTTAATTATGAGTAATATTATTAATTTATCTCATAGATCCTACTGAGTTCTACAGTCAAAGTGATGTGGGCATAAAGCCAGTAGATTTTGGCAAAGATTCATCTGACAACCAACAAGTGAGAGTACACATTACAAGTGGCAGTATTGCAATTATAATTCTGATTATTGCTGTCATAATACTCAATTTATATTAAGCTACAAAATAATATAAAATCAGAATTTGTAGTTTACTGTAATGGATGAAGTATAAAGTCTGTACGTTGTTATGTATTGTCATGGTGCTGCTTGCACATGAAAAGATATATGTATAGTGAAAATGAGTAACAGTGATCTGGTATAATAAAATGATATATTTATTTTTTACTTACAAGATATCAGATCACTTTGTTTGTATATTAATATGTAAACGTGTTATATTATTAATGCACATTGTGAATGATGTACCCATCAACGATATCGTCGATGGGGAGAAAAAGTGGGACTGTATCGAAACTTTCATTCTAATATTTTGTTTAGCAATTAAATATTTTTGTAAAGGTGTAATTACAATAAATGTAAAACAAATATTAAATAAAAATACCTTCATCTGTTAAAGGCAGCACATAATCTCTCTTTCAATCAAGATGCAAAATATTACATGTATCATAATCAGCTTATTTTTAAAGTATTTTCAAGTAGGTATAATATGACATAACATGTCAATATATTTTTAACTTTTAGTATATTATCTTATCATATTAACATCTACACAGTATATACATTTAATATCATACACGCACTTTATGTACAAAAAGACAGTACTCTCAAAGTCAATATAATGGCAACTCTTAATAGATAAAACTAGCAGTGTTCTTTAGTTTAATGTTCCATGATCCATCGTAAATTACTTTGAATTAAATGGTGCCATGCAATGTGAATACACACGAGTTACTCATAAACCAGGCAGTGGTACTTCTATGTTTTGAAATGCTTGGTACAATCCGCATTGCCTGAACAAATCCTTCATCAAAAAGCTATACTAACGTTTATGAAAAATTCTGTATTTACAAAATTCTCTTTACACTGTACATAGCAAATTTAATAAAGAGCATAATACTTTTTTCTTACCAATATGAAAAATTAAATGAAATAATACTTGGCATACTTTCAATAATAATTCATAATAAAATTTGTGAAATCCGATTCACTTCAGAATTCTACTTGTACTCAGAAATTGCGAATTTGATGTTCCTTTAAATGCATACAAATATCTTCTAATACGTATGTATATCGGTATAACTTATGCAAATATATATTAAGTGTATTTTTTCGCTATTGTCAAATTAATATTTAATCACACTTCATTTCATAATAATGAAGGTTCACATGTGCCAATATTACTCCGATCAGCGAAACATTTTCTTACCCCTTGTATGTCATACGATGAACAATAAAAAATAGGAGTATAAATTGAAACAGATGTATATATAAATCCACAAGTAGTACATCTTCCTTAGCCCACATGTCTCTCATTTAGTAGAATATCGTAATATGATGAATCTTCACATATTTCACATCCGATTCTTTTATACTTTATACACATCTACTAGATTATAAATATTTCGAATATTTTCATTCGCTAGCTTTATAAAATGGAAAACGACGGATGCGAATTGCTGGAATTAAATTAACAATGCTAAATGTAACGTACGAACAGTGCAGATCCAGATAAATAAATGTTCAAATATTATCCATTAATAATTAATATAATCTTATAATTAAATTCGTAAAATCACTCCACATATGAAACACTTAATTGTACTCTTTGTTTACGTGCATTACTCAATGCGTCTCACATTTTAAAGTGCGTATTACACAATACTCATTAACTTAAAAAAAAAGCATATACATATATGAGCACAACAATTCAGAAACTAAAATATAATAGGGTATTTAACTTAATTTTATCACACGAAATATCACCTTTATCTGTGATATTTCAATAAATCCCTTTTTATACCGTTTTATGGTTTCCACCTAGAAGGAAAATGTACGAACGAAAGTTACGAGTGTTATCGTGCTTTTGTAGATGAAACATTATTCACAATTACAACAAAATTTCATTCCGCAATACCATTTACCGCACAATTAATTAAACATAAATCTGTTTTAATGGTTCTGGAAGGAACATTTTATTTTAGTGGAAAACTACTTTTCAAACCTCGATCGGATCTGCACTATTCGTTAATAAACGTCAATGACTTGAAAAGTCTGTGAATCTATCTAGATAAAAGGTATAAATTTAAATGTTACACTGCCCCCATTTTTATAAGACCTGCTTGACTCCCTCTACCCACACTGGCGTCTTCCAACGAATCTAAATCTAAAGCGGACTCTATCATGGTCGTGTCTTGTAATAATCTAAGTCTAGATGCAGACAAGGGGGTTGTTACAGTTACCGATGGTATAGAGGAGGTGTCCAACGTAGAAGAAACCACAACACTCTGACGGGAAGGCAACGGAGCGATTTCATCGATATCGATTGGGGCAATATTAAGAGACGCTAATGGTACTTCATTAGTAACAAGTTGGCTCACGCTGTTCGTGGTGCTACCTAAAAAAAAAGAAAACAAATGTTCAATGTTCGTTGCACCATTCGAATGCTCTGGAGTGTACATTGTATATATATATATGTACATTCTGCGTACAATGTGCAGAAAATATTAGAACTTCGATAACTCGCATTAACGTTCACTGGCAAGCAGTTAGAAATTCTCCTTAGCAACGAAAACTATTACTGTATTATACAACTCAATTGCAGAAGTGCAGTATTTGCCGTGTGTACCTTCTCTGCGTGAAAAAAATATACCGAAACTAAATTAAACATAAAGTATCCCAATTATTGATATCACACTAAGGTATGCCTATTTGTACAGGTGTCTGAATTAAAGGTAAAGTTGAAAGTAAATTACTTAAACAATCACAATTGCATGACGTACAGGAATATATATTACAAGCAGACCTAGGCACTTCTCAAATGATATTATTTGAAACATTATTTCAAACATGTTATTTTATTTTCTAATCATTTGAAATAATTCTTGGAAATAATTGCGATATTGTTCCTCAAAATTGTATCGGGTAACTAAGTCTGAGTTTGATTGATTGACAATTTTTTGAAGAGTAACACCCCTCTATCATCTTCCATATTCGACAGATATCTCTCACGGATAAGCTTTTTGAAGAGCAGGTTCTTAAAATAAAATCTTTTTGTTGCCATATTATTTTGAGTATTATTTCTTTTGACAAATTTGAAACAGAAAAATACCGAAATAATTCATTATTTGAAATTGCTGTTATGTATATCAAATGAATCGATAATATTTTTATTTTCAAATAACAGTATTGAAAATAAAGGTCAGAAATAAATTATTTCTACTTTTCATTTCAAATAAAATTTGCCCAGGTCTGGTTACAAGTATAAATGTACAAAATGTTTCCCACTGAACTGTATATAAAACAATGTGTGTTCACACATGTTTGAGTGTGTATGAATGTATGTCTATTTATGTACAAATTGTCGTCTAAAAATGCCAGTGCCCATTATGAACACCCCTATCAGTATGATCTAATTAATTAGTCACAATCCATAAACCCGTGAGCTTGACGTCACAAACTAGAATTAGTTTCTTAAAAAGTGTGGAAAATCCACATCGAACATAATGTGTTTAACAGCTATTAATAAGTACCAGCTCAGTTCTATTAAACATACACACAATGATGGTTGGAATAAAAGAAAATCAACTTACCAAAAGGTATGCTCTGAGCTCTCGATAACAGGACGTAATTTTAGACAACAAAGAAATACATTTTATTGAATCATATGGAAATGGAGCAAAATGATAAAGATCTTAAAATTATCTATATTACACTTATTAGTAATTAGACCTATATTTTCATAACATCAATCATTAGTATAGCAGCATAAAAGCTTTTGTAACCAAACACTTAAAAGACATTAAATTATAAATATTATATCACTTAACTTGAGTGCAATATAAAAGTACATAATTATATTCAAACCCTTTTTAAAAAGTATATCATTACAAGGTATTAGAAACTGTAATGAAACTAATTAATGCTTACGTTCTCTGTTCAGTCAATATATGTAGTATTGTAACAAGAATATGTATTAATTTCCCCTTTTCTCATTAAGAGCAAAAATAATTATGTGCATAATAATAGCAAATTGAACAGTCAAAAAATAAATAAATCTCTGTTTAGTAACAATCAAATTCAACTCGAATGTATTTTCTATCTATTTTCTATTCTATCCATAAAAGACTCTGTGTTATGGTACGAGGAAACATGAACAATTGTCATAATCTTTGTTAATGGTATCGATATTCTTTCGTACAGTATTACTTCTGCTAATATTTATATACAGATTAAAAAGGCCGCGAGTCATAGCTAGACTGTGGATTTTATGTATTTATAGAATATGTGAATACATATAAAACTCCGATGTTTCGTAAAACTTTTACTTTACTTTAAACGGGAGCTGCATAACTTCGACTCCCGGGGTACACCCACTACGCGGCTACGGGGAGAGGTCTTCGCAACAAGCAAGAACAAGAGGTTATCACTGGCGCTGCGATGAGAAGCCTCTCCCCGTTGTATTCGACTTTCCGTACGCAGGGAGCGAGGAAGCCTGAATCGTGTAATGGGGGTATTCCGGGAATGGAATACTGACTCCAAGAGTAGAAGTTATACAGCTCTGCTTTAAACCTAATTAAACACTTAACAAAGCAGATAAATTTCCAAATTAATTTTCATTTTTTCAAATTAGTCTATAAAAATGTAAATTTGAAGAAAAAAAATTCGCAGTCTATTTAGTTACCAATTTCTTTTAATAATACACGGACAGGAATAGAACGCATATTATTTCGATTCTAACACATTGAAAGAATTCTCCTAACAAGTGACACTATGGCCGTTCATTTAACTGTTTTTTAGTACGTGCGATATTATTACGTTAAAAAAAGGCGGATATTGTAGAGAATGTTAAATATCATCGCTATCGCTCATTGAACTCATAATGTATCTCCGATTTAAAAGACCTTCTTCGGTACCATCGCTTGGACACAAAGAATTTTCTGCGTAAGCAAAATTATCGGTCAATGGTCCTGAACCGAATCTGTTAACTTCAAATCCTATAGCATTCTGAGCCATAATTGGCATTCCCCCGGCCCCCAATATTCGCGACATTACAACAGTTGGTAAGTTCATTGATATCGGATACTTTAAACCATGAACAGTGCATCGTACATTGTTGTACTCAAGAACTTGCCGAGATTGAGGAATTCGTAATGGATCTTCTGAATAACATTGCGGAAATTTTTGCAGGTCAGTGTAGGCTGTCCTGTCATCGATATTGTATCGTATCGGATCTTCAGAATATCTTTGAGGATATTTTTGAAGATTGGGATACTTATACAAGTTCTCCTCGCATCTGCACGGATATATTTGGAAATCTGGATTTCCTCTATCTGTCGCATATTTTATATGTTTCACAGAATCCTGGAAACAATGCTGTAGAGGATACGCCGTAGCGTAAGTATCATTAATGTACTGATGCGGATACTCTGGAAGTTCTTCGGGGTAACAAGTGGTATTATGCCTTAGAAGGCTTAACTCACCGTTTATTGATTCAATTTGAGGCGAATGTTGACCAGTCACGAGGTTGTTCATCGAACCGGCGAGATCTGTACTGGGGTTTGTTTGAACAGTTGTACCGTTCGACTACAAATGAAAAGTAATACACGGTATGTATTTGAAAAACTGTTACATGTAATATGTATGTAATGTATATATATAAACGAGGTAATGAATATCTGATTACCTGTGGTTGTACAATTTCCACAGTACCATATGACTTATTGTTAGTAATTACACTGTCATCGCTGACTCTTTCTTGTTCTGCTCGATATTCGGGTGTTACTATACCCCTTCGATCTATAAACGTTGATATTTTCAGTTCAGAGATTACTTCGAAGGTAATAAATTAATCATAGTAATATTAAGTACAGAAAAAAGTGAATTACCAATTAGGCTAGGTGGTGCAGGTCCACATAATACATAGAAACAATTTCCACAAATATTTCCTTGACTATAAGGATTAGAACTTCCTTGTCCTACTTTAATGGAAAATGATCCTTTGATCTGTAATAAATAAAACTATTATATTTGAATCTCTTTTGACTGTTCAATTTATTGTCTGTACACAATACTTACATCTTCGTTAGTTGTTTGATTACTAGTAGTTAAATGTGTATGAAACCCAGCAAGGCCAAGAATGCTCCAAACAGAGAAGAAGCAAATAACTCCCACAACAACACTTCCAGGAGATATTCTTACAGCTTCTAAAAATGGCCTACCATCTCTTGTGACTATAGTGAATTAAATCCATAATTAGTACTTATCTTATTTATTTTTAATTTCTTCAATTAATTCACTTACGCATTATTAAATGTGTAACAGCACAAGCAAGTATAAAAACACAAAGAAAAACCAGGGATACGATAAAAGCGTAAAAGTATCTGTAATTTCTTCTACCCACACAGTTACCAACCCATGGACAATGATGATCAAATCTCTCTAGGAAAAGAATTACACAATGTGTTTTGTTCCAATTCGTTGGAAAAATGCTTTTCAGAACAAGTGATTAATTGTTATACATACCTACACAATTATCACATAAACTACAGTGTGAAGCTCTTGGTGGTCTAAATATTTTACAAGTGAAACAATATTTCAGTTTCACTGGTTGCCCTTTGACTAATACCTCTTTTGTTCTAGGTGGGGGTCTATACATTTTGGAGTTACCATTGTTTGGTACCTCTTTATCCAACATGTAAAAGAACATAAATATAAATAGTAAATAATGATAGTTACTAAAAATGCAGCATTTAACACACATTGAAATATTGAAATTTTAATAACTACTGATCATTGAGATTTAAATTATAACACTATAATAGATCACAGTATTTTAATCGCCTAGTTATACTTTTATTATTAAAAAAATGTTTCTCATGTACCAATTTGTTTTTCAATATAGGCAGCTTCATCGGGTGTTGCTCTTGGAATAACTCCAGGATCGCTAAAACTTGTTCTGAATAAAGCAGACATTACGAAAATAAATAGTAACCCACCAATAACTGGTATAGCTGGTGTTATGTGAACTGTTAAGAAAGGACAACTAGAAATAGAAAAAAACTAACATTAGAATTGATTTAATCCTAAGTATTTAAAACTACAACTTTAATTAAAATGATCTTACTCAAATATAAAAAATAAACCACTTGTTCCAGCAATGAGGCACACAGTCACATAAAAGATACCAATCTGCGGTCCCATCATTACCCTGCCATCACAACAAAACCGGTTTCTGCCTGGGAAAAGTTCCCATTTTCTGGTAATGTGTGGCATTTTGGAGAATTAAACCGATCTATATATTGTTTCTATGTATAAACATGTAATGCCCAAGTTGTAAGGAATTATTTATTAGGGCCGTACAACATTTATTTAATATCACCATGTGAAAGCTTGGACAACCATTTTTCATCTTGGCCTATCAGATTTTTGTATTGAACTGTAATATGCATCACAAGAAATTAAATTCACTTTTGTCACTTCTAAACTATAGATTTTATGGATTTATGGCATAAACAATTGTTGAAAACTCAATATAGAAAGAAGTTTAATAAAACTTGATATGGTTTTTATACTCTTTTCGAGATATTTAGATATATTTTTGTTTCATTTTAATTCATACGAATTAAATATATATTTATATACATATATAGATCATAAATGTCTCTATTTGCATAACTATCTCTACTAAGTACCTTTCATAAATATTTCAACTATAATTATGAAAACTCTCAACTTACCATATACTTATGAATTGCCTATACTGTGTGTTGATGTAATGCTTACAAAGAACTTGTGCTCCTTGTCAACTTAACCTAATTGCTTCGTTGGTTTGGTGACGTGAAGACATTCATATTTTTTAAAAGTCCACATTTTAACGATTGAAAACTGGTGAAAACTAATACTTAAACCGTTTATTTTCTTCCGCATTCTATAAACAGCTACGAACTAACATCCGAGGAGACAGCATCGTCACTGTCCCGCGGAGGCCACCGACTTCAAGAACACTCACTGAAGCTGGAGGGTCACACAACAGTCGATAGAAAATTAGGGGCGAAACAGGGCGAAAATTCATTTGTAAACTAGGTCACCCCGATGTGACACAGAAATCACAGTTGTGCGTTCTCGATATAACCTTCAAAGCGGCGATGCACATTATGCTTTAGGAAACCGTCGCATCGTTTAGCTGGATTGACCTCAGTTCGATGACAATTGATGACAATAACGTATATATTTACGGGAAAGGATTAAGTATTGCCCATGGTGTTTGCTCGAGATTATCTGTGGTTCCCTCTGACGGAGTATGTGGAAGCGCCACGTGATCTCGTTGCCACGTGACCTATCGCGAAACCAATTTCAATTTCAACCGTGAGTTTTCTTTCAGGAAAAGTCATTTCATTAAACTGAATCCAGGTAAATGATTACGTTCAAATCCTATAAAGATGCATACCGAATCAACAGAAAATAAACAATTCTCTAACATAAATTATATAGAAAATGTGCCATTAATTTTTTTAATTATGTCCAAGTTTAAATGTTCAATATTTTCTTTTTTTTTTATTACATTTATCTTTATCAATCGCGTCAATCTCAAGACCGCTTCATCATTAAATTGATAACAAAAAGTAATCACGGTCTTTATTATGTAAGAACCATATTTCCGTTTCTTGACTATACGTATGAAGTATCTCGATAAAAACCGATGAGCGATGACACACATTATATTAAATATTTTGGAAGACAATATTTTTGAATTGTATAAAATATGTTAAAGCACTAAAGGAAATAATAATCATGTTAAAGTATCTCTTGCTTCTATACATGAAGAGCCGTAGTCTGCCCAGAAACATGGGATTGATTATTTAACGGTAGGAGGGTGTGCAACTTATCGCTCCCATTGCAAAATGGGTCGTCGACGCAATGCAGTATATCGTCACACGTATATACGTGCACACAATCAAGGAAATCTTGAAAATCGAAGAATACCACTATGAACGCCATCTTCGGGAATAGCCGCGAACAGGGCAGCCGTGATCCTAAAATTTTACTACACGTATAAACTAACCAAACCAAATACATACATATGTACATTCATGTACGAATATAATGTCCTCTCGTAGATCTATAGATCAGCCTATCCAGGTGAACGAACTATTTTTGCTAAGTGGGTTTGGACGAAACGACTGCAATTCATACGGTTATACATTAAGAGTTTAATTGTAGTGACAATACAATTCGGAATATTTTTTTTATCTCCGCGAACAGATCCTAAAAACGTATATAATACGTTTCTTTCCGGGGAACAAAAAGAAATTCAGAAAATAACGAACGAATATGTGAACGAATGCTATTTGCAATTTTTCACGCAATTCGCCGATTAATCTTAACTTCTCACTGTAATAAAACGAAGAAAAGGTTACTCGAGTTTTTCGGAATCAATATACATCGCCGGCGGCATCCAGACAGAATGTCCCTACTTCATGTAAATGATTCGCGGAAAAATATTACGAACCAATAAAATAATAGATTCGTGGGAAAGATTACTTATTTCTGCGAGAGGGATAGCAACAGGCACGTTGATGTCAGGAAGACGTAAATAAAGCGAATGGGAAATGGGAAACGTCGTGTCCGGCGACGGTGACAAAAAGGATCGCGAAGGGTCGCGTTTAGTCGCGTCTGCACAGCTCATGGCATGGCATGGTAGTAGCAAGTAGCTGGAGCAGTTTGTCAGGGTGGGAGGATGAACGTAGCCGGGTGACTCGAGGGGTGGGTTGGGTGGCGAAGGATGGAGCGCGGCGGGGTGCACGGGTATGAATCGTGGAGCGGGCGGATGGACGGACGGACGCAAACGCTGAAATCAGCTCGGACGATCGATGCGATAAATGGATGCGTGCGATTGGTAGCCGGGAAAATCGATGATGAACAGGGGGGCACCCTACCCAGCCGCGAAAGCGAGCGAGCACGGCTGCACCGTCGGAGAGGATGGAGCAAAGACCGAAATATCGATTTTTAGGCCCCTACGCGGCGGTTCGATGCTCATATCTGCCCCGTGTCCCGTATCCGCGCGAAGCGCCTTTCAAAACACCAACGACGCGTGCGAGACACACCGTGGTGACGCGCGATCCTGTCGAAGAATTATCGTACGATTAAATACGCGAGGGTTGCCCCGGAGTGACGCGCGTTCCAAGCTTCCGACCGATGTCGTCAGGTAACCACGTTGACGACTTTACGACGCGGTTTGATCGAGGGGAAGAAACGAGACCGTCTTGACGCCACCAGATTCTTGTTCCTCTCGGCTGGTTGACGTTTGTGCGAGGCAACGGTAATAGGTATCGTGCAAGCTGAATGCCGAGAATCAATGATTCACGACGCAATAACGATCTAAGATCCCTAGCCTGTTCGGCGATATCAAAGTGCGTCAACGGTGTCATGCTGTCTTAACATCGCTTTTTTCCCTCTCTCGATGAATGTTTTGTGTACGCTGGTTCGCAGTCGAAACGAACGTTCGGATATCGCGACGAGGGTGTGAATCGGGGTGGCGGAGGCAGTGCGTAATTATTGCATTCGTTGCTGGTGTAATCCTTGAGTTCGTTCCGAGTGTTCCATTGACATTGATCTATACGATCATGATTAGACGTAAAAGGGGGATCCGGTAATATCGGTTCTTGTTATCGTGAGCAATAAAAAGAATAACAAAAAAACCCCCAAAAAAGTACGGTTGACGCTAGAAGGGGTAAATACGATGGATCGTTGCGAATTAAATTCATAACCGAAACGTTTTGAAAATTGTGCAATCGCCGAAAAAAATATAATAAATTGTACAAACCTGTCAGCAGTGACCATGGTATAATGATTATTTTATTTGTCATTAGGATCACGATCTGTAAAAGAAAAAAGAAAAAAAGATATGATTTATGGAAGTATAATAAACGGTTTCGCACCGTTAGCAGCGTATCATAACATACTTCAATACTCGGTGGAGGGAGGGGGGGGGGGG